GTCAGCTGAGCTAACACCTAACCACAGAGTAAGGATATACAGAGGCGGAACTCGAGGCAAATCATGTCCCCACTTTTTTAATGCGCATGCGCGACCCTCTGGCAAGTGTCATCCACATTTTTTATCAGGAAAAAGATAGGGAAATGCAAAATTTTGGCAGTAAAACGGCGATTTTAAGCGCAGTAACCGATCAATCTTCATTTTGTGCACGAATTTTGCAAATAAATGGCACATCACGTCTTCTTAGCGAAAGGGAATTGAACGAATACCATTTTTAACGGCGAAAATGAGAAAAGACACCCGAAGGAGTGAGAATTTCTGGCAATGATTCTGAAGATTCGATTCTGTCTGGAACTTGGCAACTTTATATGTGAGTTTTTTTTGTCTAGCTCATATATATCAAATTATCAATATATTTTTGTGAAGTGCAATGTTGTATCAAAGGGTTGTCGTTAGTTTAAACATTGCATAAACAGCATTCAGATACGAAAAATATGAACATCAACATAACAACATTCAACATGGACTTGGACATGGAGCCACAGTACTCTAAAGTTCTCATATAGACTTTATTTAACTTATATGTTGACCCAATGGTGAGGGATTGGTCAAATTATACTTTATAGTGATTCCCCTAGACTAGTGCATTGGTTATTGTGCAATGACAACCTTTTTTTTGGCTCTCAAAGGTCAATAATTTCTCAAACATGCCAAGTCTGTACATGTTTAATATTAAATCTAATCTGTTTATTTTTTATTTTGCTTTTCTAGATTGCCAACCATTCCTGTTGAACTACATTGTTCATTAGTCATTACAATGAATCAGATGCAGATTCTTACAACTATGTTAATTTGTTCTTCTGATTGGGGAAAACCTGAGACTATTTGATCTTATATTGGAATGCCTACCAATTTTACATAGCCTCAGGCAATGTTTATATAATTAATCTTGAGTAATAGAGATGCTGTACCCCCTGACGGAGTGACCTTACTACCTGGATCATCCCACTAGGCAAGACAAGTTCAAAACTTTCCATCCAAACACTTGCATGGCAGTTGCTATAATAGGATATGAATATAGTTTTGCCTTGCCAGGGGGGCTCGGGGGGGGGGGTGTAAAATTTCCCTAGTACCCGGAGACCATATAGACAGGCCGTCGGATTACTGTAATAGTTTAATTGAGGTTCAAAAAAGCAGCCCCCCCCCAAAAGTGGTAGGCCTGCTCCCCAAATCCAGCCCCCCTTGGAAGATGTACTGTAAAGCTAGACAATTTTACTTGTTAACCCAACTTTATCATTCTGTCTAACACCGGGCGATCCAGTTAACCCATTGAGTTGCATTGCATGTGCCCTGATGCACCCTACTTTATTATTTTACTCTGTCTAACGCCAGACGATTTTACTCGTCAAGGGGTGGGCACACTTTAACAGGCAAAGTATTAATTGGGAATACTTTCTCTTTTAATGGGAAACTCTTTATCAATAAAAGGAACAATGCAATTATTCATAGTATTTAATTTTTCATATAAAGCAAAGACTGTAAGAGGAAACATGGATCATTGGCTACTTTTTTTATTTAATATAAATTTTCATGACAACATGTGGGGTCAACTATAAAGGAAACAGTTATTGCTTATTTTGGAATAAAAAATTTAGAATATAGCAATATTCATTGACATTGAACACATATTTAATTTATTTAGTTTTTGAATAATTTAAGTTCTTAAATGTATATAAATGTGAAATAAAATAAACAACATTTATTAAAATAAACTTTGTATTTTTAAACCCAATTACACTGTTGCATTTACATTTCACTGTTGTAGTATTTACACTGTCAGTAGTAATTACACTGTAGTATTTACATTTCAAGACCTTATAAACCAACATCATTCCTTGGAGTTTCTCATGACAAGATGTCTCAACCAAGATCCTCTGGAGAACTTCTTTGGCCTCATTAGGCAGCAGGGGGGGGGGGGGAATTGTGACAACCAACTAGTTCCATCCAGTTCACCAGAGCATTTTGAATATTATTTGTAGATAATATTTTGACACCACTTTCAATTGGCACCTGTGCTGAAGATTCTGATGCCTATTTGATTGCATTTCACCCTAGCCAATCTGATTTATCTGCAGGAAATGATCAGACAAGCCCACCACTAATCCAAGCAGTTGAAGATACCGACTACAAAACAAATGAAATTGAACAAAACTTAGTCTACATGAACTTATGTGTCAGGCTATTTATTAAGGAAGTGCCTTATCCAACATAGCTGTCCAATATGCCATCATAATTTTGTGACAAAGGATGTCAATGACAGTAGTCTCTGCTATTCTGCATGTGACAATCCGTAAAGAAACGTTTCTTTGCTGGAGAATATATTTGTGAATGTGGTTATTAGTTGCACAGAAAGTATTAAAAACATAGGTAGTTTAACTTTTAATTTTTGCTCACAAATCGCAAAGCTACATGCATGGAACCTGATGGACGTGTTTCAAATCAGCACCTATGATTTCTTATTAATGTAAAAGACAGGAAAGCAATACGTTTGGCCCGCATTAATTTAGCGAAATGGGAATCTGCTTCTTGGCAAGAACATCACAAGCACCGAGATTGTAAATTGTATTATATTTTTTTTCTTTGTATTTAGCCTATAAACGTATATCTTTTTACATAAAAATAACCACTTACCATTTATCTTTCAAATTTGAGTCCCAAAATGAAGATTGGTTGAGCAACTTCGCAAAAATATTTATTTTTCTACTTTCGAACGGTGTTTTTCGTATGCTTTTGACTGAAAACACGACGAATGACACTTGCCAGCAGTGCTCTCACAATCAAATTTTCGAATTCCTTAGAAAAAGCTAAAAAATTCCTCAGATTTCCTAAAAATTCCTTAAATTGGTAAAATTACTACAAGACCTGATCACATAGTTTATTTATTTATTTATGTATTATGCTTTGCCAATTTCACACAATCATATCTGCACAAATACAAACACAAGAATATACAAACTATCAATCAATCAATGGCAGGGTATATCAATATGCTACAGCTTTGCTCCAATTACAGCAGCCCTTAGTTGCAAAAAGTGTTTTTTTCTCTTTTTTTCAGTTTTTCAACCTTGTTTCTAAGCACTAAAATCTGAAAACATTTGATTGTTAGCATATTAAATGCGATAAAGAAAACATTCAACATGATGTATTTTTGATCATTGCTGCATGAAGAGTTTAGATAATATGTAGATTTCAGAAGAAACAGCATATACTGACATTTAACTTTTGAGAATTTTAATGGAAAGACAGCCATATGTCATTTATGACATTTATGACATAGGGAACATACGAATATATGTAATTATGTGCGTATAATGTTGTTACTTTCAAGTTTAAATCTCATTTGCGTGGCATGTTATCTTCCGTCCAACATTTCTAGTCCAAGATAAATTGTTTCGGAAATTCCTTAAAAAAATCCTCAAAAACCTAAATTCCTTAGGAAAATCCTTAAAACTCTTCAAAATTCCTATTTTTAAGGATAATTCCTTAAAAGTGAGAGCACTGCTTGCCAGAGCAATTTGCGTGGCGCGTGGAAATGACGTGGCACGGGGACACAAAGAACAAAGGAATCGCCGCGAGTTCCGCCTCTGTATACTCTGTGACCTAACCAACCAAACGGGTAAGTATGGTGGAGGTGTTAACCGTTTACACTATGACGGATGCTACGGCAAATTTACCGTAGCGTAGTGATTTGCATCCGGAGTGCAAAATGTGGTGGCAAACCACTCCGTTATAGTGTAAACACAATATAGTCTCAATACTAGAAACGTGGTAAATTTTTAACGGAATGTTAGCCGTAGCGTTATGGTGTAAACGCGGCCTCTTGAGTGACCTCATCCAGACGGATGCCATTAATAATTAAATCATTACTAATTAAGTCATCAAACATTACTAATTAAGTCATCACTAATTAAGTCATTACCAATTAAGTCATTACAAACACCATTTTAGATGGTACGTGGCCAGAAAAAATTCGCGGGTCGACGAAGGCCGACGAAGGCTAGATGGTATGCAAGAGAGAAAATGATGTCTGAAGTTCAGTAAATTTTGCTTATATTGCTGTATAAATATGGCGTCAATTTTAAAGCATCAATGATAATTGTCTCTTATATGACTAGGTAACCACAAATCTTACCACCTGCGCAGCTAATAGTGAAATAAACCAAACGCATAACAAACGCTATTTTTGCGTTTAAAACCCATCTACAAGTACAAAACAATACACAATTACATTTATACAGCCGAGTCCACAGCAGTACTGACTGACAACGCTTCAACGTGAACAAAGCTACAAATGAATTTAACTCTATACGATTTATCGCGTTGTGCGTGTACTGATTTCGCCGAGAGAAAATTCAGTTTGAAACTACCTAAAACATTAAATTTTGTTAATATGGAAAAATGAAATCTGTGCACTTAATATTGAGGGCACAAGAGCACACTAAATTAGATTACCTTTATTTTATACACCCTGCATAATAAATTTGACGCTATTTTCAGCGTTTGAATGTCATCACAAAACATTGGCACCTGTGTCGCTAAGGAATAAGGGCGATATATTAATGCGTCTATAGACTAATTTCTACAAAACAGTACACATTTCGGTCGGAACAACATGGAATTTCTATCTAAAGAACAAATTTAAAATGAATTTAACTTTACTATTGTTCGCGTTATGTATCTGTATCACAGACGCCAAGCTAAGTTTAACCCTCGAAAGTGCACGGGGTAAAATGAAACTGAAGAATTTTTATCATTTGCACGGACATCGTTTAAAGGTGATCTACAGTCCGATCTGCGCATGTGCACAAATGAGCCCACTTTTTATGATACAAACAGTTTAACTATGTTTTGAGTTCTTGAAAAGCCTGATTGTTGTTTCTTGATCATTTATTATACTCTAGAAGCTTAAAAATATAAATAGTTGTCGAATAAAGCTCAATATTTTGGACACAAAAATGTAAACAAAGGCTTTGTTTACATACGGACTGTAGATCACCTTTAAAAGTCTCGCCACAAGCAACTTTGGAAGTCGCAAAAGATGTGAAATGTACTGTAAGTTGTATGAGAAATGAAGATTGCTTTTCATTCAATGTCAAGAAAATAAGTTCAAACTTGTTTTTATGTGAGTTACTGAATACGAGTAAGTTTCTAGACTCGGAGAATTTGATGAGGGACGAAAATTTTGCTCACTGGTATTTGCAGGTAAGCTATAAAGCAAGCTATATAAACGCTAAACTATAAACTAAGTTTACCTGTACAGTGGATATCTTAGTTCTAAACTGTTCTAAGAGATCCAGTGAGGAGATCCATCCTTTACTGGTCCAATTAGATCTCTATATGGAGAACAGTTTAGAACTGATACAGCTTTATCCAGTATAGATAAAGTTAGTTCAGTAAAGACGTCTGTAATCCTGGGGTCCGCGGTTTGGGCGGCGAACGTTTCACAGAAGAGCGCCGGGCGTCCAAATAAATTAAGTTTTGATTAGGTTCGACACGGTAGAAAATACGGCAAGTCATGTCGTATTATGCTGACACAGGTTCGACATGGGTTTAAAGACGCCGTGCTTTTCATGCGCCGAATTGAACCTAATGCACAAATTTTTTGAACGTACATTATCATATAATATATTAGCAATTTAGCACTGAAATTTCTGATATACAGCCGTAGTTTACCGATGTATTTTTGGCACGGTACAATTGAGTCCGACGTCTAAATCAGTTGCCGAACTTGTGCCGTATTTAATTTTATTAGGTTTGGCGCATGAAAAGTTCCACTCGCAGAAAAATAATTTGTGCAAATCTTTTTGAACAGTTCAAAAGTTCAATATGCATCGATATTACTGTCGAATATAGTCTCTCAGAATGCAGGAATTTGCCATTCCCGAGACCTAATAGATTTCAAAATTTTTAGACCCCCTAAAGTTTTTGGCCAGGCCAAGGTAAATGTGGCGCGTTTCGGCGTTCAACGCCTCGTCAGTGCAGCTTGGTACACGTCTATAGATACATGATAGATGTGATGGTAATTGTGTCAGGCATTAAACTGATGTTGACTCGTAGCAATGTTGTTCCAACAACTTGTCAACAGGATGTGTTCGCATGCACTGCTTAATTGCTACAAAGCCTGTTGCGAACACAAGTTACGTGTGTTAATCGTATCTGTCGTCCGATTTAATTTAATATGATATACTTATACTAGGAACCATGTAGTCCCTCACCTTGTGAAAAGCACGGAAAATGTGTCGTGAATTCTGATGGAACAGCTGGGTCATGCAAATGTTTTGAGAAGTACGAAGGGAAAAGATGCGAAATACGTATTTTTGATGGTAAGCCTGTCTGTCGCACACGTAATTCATGCTCCAAAAAATGTAACCTTTGTGGGTTAGGATAAACGACATATAGTCAAGAAAGTAATATCACAATTGTCAAGGCCTGTATGGAGAAATGACAGATGGTTGTTGGTGACAAAAAGTTTTGTGTGGTATCGTTCGTATATATAACAGTGGTTGGGCTGGCGGTATTCTTTCGCAGAAACATTTCGTATTTTTCCACCCCTAGACTGCATTTCGTGCGTTTTCTGAAACAGATTTTTGGATATAGCCTACACTGAATGTTATGTTTATCTAAATTCCACAACTCGGTTACTAACTTGTTTAGAGTCAAACCTCCCTTCTAAATTCCATTTTTCTTCCAATATTTTGCTTATATTTCAGAGAAAAGGGACCTTGACTAGGAGGGGGGAAAAATGGTTGACTGGGGGCCACCATGGGGCTGGGGGCTTTTGCCCATCCGGTTATATAGTTAAAAAAGCCCTGACAATTGTTGTAAAGATAATAATAGTCTTTATATACACTGTTAAAAACCCCAAAATACTGGCAGCTGGGACGCCACAGAATGACAGTTATTTTACAGACACAGTTTTTTAACTGTATTTATACCGTAAAAAGGATGTAATTCAAACATCTTTCAAATAACAGATTTCTTTTTAAATCCAGTCCGTTTTACCGTAATTTACAATTACAGAATACTTAACTTACTGTAAAAGATTACTGTCAAACACATGCTAAATAACAGATTTCTTTTTAAATAATAATAATAATTTATTAATTTATAAAGCGCTAAACACTATAAATATTCTAAAGCGCTATCATTACAAATTCAAACTAGAGGGCACTCAGAGACTGCATACCTCCGCCCACATTAAATTTCGGTCGTGCGAAATGCAACTAAAACAATAGACAATTAGGGCTGAAGCTTAATGAGGTTTATTTTAGTCATCTCATTGTCTTCTTAGTACTGCGTGCATACATTATACACGTCCTAATTACGCATTCAGTGAGTTTTTTATAATTGACCGGGAAAAGCAAGACAAAATTTTGTTCATTTCTCGTTCAATTTTTAACCAAATTCAACCAAATTTTAATCAGTTCTTCCTTAGCCGATGGGAAATGCATTCAAAAAATTTCGTATGAATATGTTTGGTATTTCTTGAGTTATCGTGCTCACAGACAAACACACACACATACACACACACATACACACACACACATACAAACCCAGATGATTACATAACCTCCTGGCGGAGGTAAACAAACCCAGATGATTACATAACCTTCTGGCGGAGGTAATAAAATGTTATAAAATATGAGATGATACCTATATATACATGTTTAAAATTTACTATTATATTTAAAGATAAAATGCCTTTTTAAAAAAGAAAGGTCTTTTAAAAGTCTGTTTTTAAAAGTTTCCACTGTTGACGCCTCGCGAATGTCAGCGGGAAGTTCAAATTTACTATTCTATTTAAAGATAAAATGCCTTTTTAAAAAGAAAGGTTTTAAGTCTGCTTTTAAAAGTTTCCACTGTTGACTCTTCACGAATGTCAGCGGGAAGTTCATTCCACAAAAATGGACCAGCCTTGGCAAAAGCTCTGTCGCCAAACGTTTTCCTCATTGTCTTAGGAACTATTAGCAAATTTTGCTCATTCGAGCGCAGGCTGTAGCAACCAATATGCTTAGGTGTCAGAAAGTCTGAGATATAATAGAGTCCATTATACTGTAATTTATACGATTACAGTATACTTATACTGTAAAAAATAACAGTACATTATTTGGTAAAAGACCAAGATATTTTTAACAGATACTGACTGTATGATTGTCTGAGTCGAGTTGTGTGTGGCTTTTTCTATATGTATGTAACTGTGAAGTGAGCCCCCTAGATGAGCAACCAGTAGCTCTTGGGCAAACTTCCTTTTCAAATTAAATATTTATTAAACAAAAAAAAATTGCACAAAAGAAATGTTCTTAATCTTATCTTCACTGATTTCTTCACTGATTTTGCAGACCCAAATTTCAACTTTGCACTGAACAAACCTACGAGTCAGAAGACTAGGCCAAACGGGGGGTGGAAAGCAGTCGACGGAAACAGAAATCCTGCATGGTCATCAGGCAGTTGCACTGCAACTCAAACCCTGCCGCGTATCACTGACCCACAGTGGTGGAGAGTTGATCTCGGCGAAGAGATTCCACTTTCAAGAGTTGTGATCACCAACAGAGGCGATTGTTGTGGTGCGAGATTAGGCAATTTCGCCATTAAGATTGGAAACAGTTTAGATAACGATGGCTTATCGAATCCCACATGCGCAGGGGATAACCTGAGTGTTCCAACTGGCCAAACTAAAACATTCGTATGTACACCTTGGATACGCGGGCAATATTTGGTAGTTCAGTCGTATGTTAACGATGTTTTGACTTTATGTGAAGTTGAAGTTTACGCCTATACTATGAAAATGATTGTATGATGTGCACATATGCACGTAAAAATCTCACAACTTGTCAACGAGTCGTAACAACGCTGTTATTTTATCAAGTTGCTACAAGGGTTGTCACTCACAACTTGTTGACAAGTTATTGAATTACAGGACGATAACAAGTTTGAAATAACTTGTAACAAGTCTGTTGAGCTCAACAACTTGTAGCAAGTTGTCTACTAGCAGGGAACAAGCAGTGCGAACACATCCTGTTGACAAGTTGTTGGAACAGCATTGCTAGACTAAGTCTGTTGCAGGTTTGTTACAACTTTCACGTGAGTACCATATATAATTATATATACAATTTCTTGTATATGCTTTGGGTAACAGTGTCATATGTATTATACGATGATTAAGAAACATGAGTTTTATTTTCTTCTTAAAACCAAAAATATTGTCATATATAAGGGTCAGGCTAGGGTGCAACATAATGTGGCAGTGTGTAACTCTATTTAACACAATGCAATAGTATGTAAAACTATGCAACACTATGCAACAGTATGTAATAGTATGCAACACAATGTAACACTATATGCAGTCTGTACTATGTAACATTATGTAAGTATAGGTATAAATAGCATGGTTTCGAGTGCAATTTGGATATATGATTGGTTGATTTTATCATCACAATGTTTTCCCACCAATCAGATCATAGGCAGCCCAAAAATGCATGCATCGAGTCTACTCAGTTTATTGAGTAGACTCGATGCATGCCCGAGCGCCACGCGCGAGGGTAAAAATTTCAACACGCATTTTTGGGCTGCCTATCTATGATTTTGCACTGTTGTTACAGATTTTTGCACTGTTGTTACAGATGTTTGCACTGTTGTTACAGATTTTTGCACTGTTGTTACAGATTTTTGCACTGTTGTTACAGATGTTTGCACTGTTGTTACAGATTGTTGCACTGTTGTTACAGATTTTTGCACTGTTGTTACAGATTGTTGCACTGTTGTTACAGATGTTTGCACTGTTGTTACAGATTTTTGCACCGTTGTTACAGATTTTTGCACTGTTGTTACAGATTTTTGCACTGTTGTTACAGATATTTGCACTGTTGTTACAGATTGTTGCACTGTTGTTACAGATGTTTGCACTGTTGTTACAGATGTTTGCACTGTTGTTACAGATTGTTGCGCGGTTGTTACAGATGTTTGCACTGTTGTTACAGATTTTTGCACTGTTGTTACAGATTTTTGCACTGTTGTTACAGATTTTTGCACTGTTGTTACAGATGTTTGCACTGTTGTTACAGATTTTTGCACTGTTGTTACAGATTTTTGCACTGTTGTTACAGATGTTTGCACTGTTGTTACAGATTTTTGCACTGTTGTTACAGATGTTTGCACTGTTGTTACATATGTTTGCACTGTTGTTACAGATTGTTGCACTGTTGTTACAGATTTTGGCACTGCTGTTTGCGATTAACTGCACTGAAATCAACCAATCACAGTGGAGTAATATTTTTATGTATATTATTAAACCATGTAACACTAAGTATGTAAAACTATGTAACACTATGCATTATTATTATTATTATTTATTAAAGTTTTTTGCTTCTTTACACGAGCGCTATGAGGCATAACAACGCCGCCAAAAATAGTTAAACTAATTTTCGGCTGACGTCCGTGTTGACAAAAATGTCGCTTGGTCATAGTCCAGTCAAATCACTATAAGTCGAGCTATAAGTACATGGTCCTGATCAAAGTAATCGCAATAGATTTTTTTTCAGTGGTAAAGTGTGTGAAAAGTTGTTCACACTTGATGAATAAACAACTTGTACCAGACTTGTCAACAACTGGGAACAAGCAATGTGAACACATCTTGTTGATAAGCTGTGAGATTTTCACGCGTGCAATTGACCAACGAGCGGATTAAAATTTGCCAGTCAAAACCGAGGGGCAATTCACTCCAAAAATCCCGTACACTTCGTCAAAAAATCCGGAAAAAATCCAGAAAAAATCCATGAAATCCTCAAAATCCGTTGAATCCATCAAAATCCGAAAAATCCTTTAAAAACCACAGAAATCCTTCAAAAATCCACGGAAATCCTTCAAAATCCTTAAAAATCCGCAAATCCACAAAAAATATATGACGTACTTGGTGTAATTTACTCGTAAAGGTTCTTTGCCACGTTCAAAATGGCGGACAGCGAAAGCTAAACGCTTACCGTGATCGCTGTCATTATATTTCGTAATTATTGGACCACTCTACATTTCCATTTATACGCTCGAGTATATGCCAAGTTTTTTAGCCTATTACTACTAAATATGTGTTCTTGTTACAATGACGTTACGTTGTAAAATATAATTACAAAACCAAAAGTTATTCACCATTGCCTTTTACTGTTTTTGAAAGAATAATGAACTTGTTTGAATTTTAAACAAAATGACTGCATGCCCAGCCTTCGTTAGTTTCTGAAGGCTGTGGTCTTAGTCCCAGTCCTCTGCTCGACCCTGACGTCCTGGCATAACGTTGACGTCGTACAACTTAAGATTATTTGTTCAAAACGTTACCTAGCTCTATAACTCTATACTTAAAAAAAATCCAGAAAAAATCCGAACAAGTCCGGAAAATCCAACAGATTTTCAAAAATCCAGAAAAAATCCGAACAAATCCGGAAAATCCGAACAAATCCGGAGAATCCAGCAAATTTTCTCTTCAAAAATCCGCTAAAAAATCCGGGGAAAATCCGCTAAAAAATCCGAAAATCCCGTACGCTTTTTTGGAGTGAAATGCCCCTCGTAATATGTTACAATATATGTTGTAATAATTACGGATCGAAAGCTTGGCAGTAACAAATTTACGTGGTGTTTCCACAAACAAAACTATTGTTTTATCGCCATGCAATGATGCAAACGTACAAAGAACTTATATATTTGTAGCAGCAATTTCGACCATTAAACCGAAATTATTCAACTACATGCTATCGATATAATATGTAAATAATTACCTAATGAAACTTTTGCATTGTATGTTATTCAATTCTGAGATTAAATGCTCAATTTCAAACACTGCATATAATAAACAACCTTGTATCTTTGGACGTTTCGTTCCGAAACTTTTTTTAACATTTGACCGTCACTAACAATTGTATAAAATAAACCACAAACTGGAAGCTCGGCTCAATTAATAGTCAGAAACTTAAAATTTGATCCACTAGGCACAATATCAACATCATGCACTCGCATTTGTTTATGATAAATGTTTGACCTACCTTTTCCTAGCGATTGTTCATCTTCGTTAACTCGATGAAAATGAAAAGGTCGAGGAAGAAAGCTTTTCACAAAACGAAATATAAGATGCCGAAGTTCTTATGTCTTCCGGAATTTGATTCCAGACATGAGCCCCATTGTAACTGAAACTTTTTTTTAGATATTCTGTTCTAGGCTTGGGAAGGCAAAGCCTAGTTGATGACCCTCTCAAATAATAATCATACATTGTATTTGAATTTTGAAAAAAGTTGCTCAGTCTTTGGGGAGCTAATTTATTGATCGATTTGTACATAAGTCTTGCTTTCATTTGTGCTCTGCGTTCTTCTGGAATACTTAGCACCACCAAACAAGCGACTGCTAGCAAGCAACTCGATATATTTTTCAAAGAAAACAATTTTTTCATCTCGGAAGATACTCCGTTGTTTCTACGACTTCTCCTGGCGACTGTGAACAATTTGTAGTTGATGAACAACATTGGGGGAAACCGGGAAAGACAATAATAAATAAAATAAGGGCATGCACTTGGATGGAAATAACGAAGTCGTTTAAGGATATCAGCGCCAAAGTAAGTTCAGAAATAATCAGTACTGCAAGAAGAGTTAAAAGTCTTTCCTTCGTTACCGACGTTCGATGAAAGATAGGATAGGATGTCGCCAAATATCTATCAAAATTCATGACCGAAAGAGCGAGTATAGAAAAAACAAGGAAACTATATCTGATAACCTTGCGAATATGTATATCCAGGTACTAGGGTATACATCCAACTTTCCAGTCCAAAACAACATCGCGACATGACAACATGACAAATTAAACCATGATCATGAAAAACATAATTTCTTTCGAAGTTGTGCAGATCTCCAGAAACTGAGTAGCCTATAACCACGGAATTTAAACATATTCTTGAGAAAAAGAACAATTGATTCACAATAAATATGAATGCGAGATTAATAAAATAGATGAACGCCATTATTAAGTACTTCTTTTGAAAAACTGAACACAAAAATATCGCTGTCGTGTTTAGGTACGACATATGTTAATTAAAATTCCGACTTTAGTCTTTGCTGAAGTATAAATAATGACATATCTAAGTGGTATACTTTATCATGACCACATGCACGTTTCACAAAAGTTTCAATAAACTCAACCTTATTAATAGATTGCCTGTGAGTCTTGATGTGTGTATGAATTCGATACTTATATATGTTCCTATTTCCTAAAGTTTGTATTAATGCAACACGTTTGAAAATTGAGATTAGTCACAAAAAGTATAAATTATGCGTGTTTTTGACGGCACATACTGGATGTTGCATGCCAACCAATGTTTATTTTGTTTAATTAAATTTCGAATATATATAGTGCAAATAACTAATTCATGAAGGGACGAACGCGCGTAAACGTGCAAAATTAAATGAAGATAAACACTAAATATAAGTCTGGCCTGAGAACCTATGATATAGATTAGCATGTAGTATATGTTATAACTGAATTGTAGTATATTTGTTATAACTGAAAAGCCAAATTGGAAAGTGCTTCGATGCCTGCACTACGCCCGCGGTATATATAAATATGCCATATTTTAAAATTGTGCGCGCGAAGTACATATCCATAGTTCTCATTTTAAACGTCTGTTTCAGCAGTTATTAGTTTGCAGTTTTAAAAAAAAACTTGAGAGTAGGTCGAGACATAAAGTAAAGTATGTCAATCAATTTAAAAAAAAATGTTTTAATTATAGACTACGCGAAGGACAGCTGGCCCAAGCGCCAACCAACGTTTCAT